GAGGTTTACCTATAACCCTGCCATGTGCAGCCACAGCAGGGCCTCAAACAGCCCCACGTTTCTCTAGCAGACACAACAGGAAAGAACAGAACCACCGCAGGCTCGGTCTCGCTGGAAAGGTCTGCACGTTCAGAATATACATACATTTAGATCGATATATTTCAGCTGCTTTTCCTTCAATGTTATTTGCTAAAAACACGATTAAAGTTTACTGGAGAGTAACTGGAATGATCGACTCCTCAATCTGAAAATGTGATGAATCCTTCTGTTCTTACAGTTTCTGCCTCTGATAAAGGATTTAATTTTGGTAACTCTTTAAAGGAAAACTCCACTCAAGCCGAGATATTTGGGGGTTCAGAGGATTCACTGAATGTGACAATAAATCTCGGCTGTACATTTGCCAGCACTTGTGTTTTTAGCATCACATCATAAATAAACAAGTTTTTACAATTCAGGAACTTTTCTTGTTGACGTGAACGAGTGAAGAAACTTGACTCGTAGCTCAAACACTCTGAACACACATTTATAGGAATAAAACTGGTTCAAGACCACATAAATGAGCAGCTATTAACAACACAAACACCAACCTTACTCATCGGTTCACAGTCACACTGGAGCACCTCGGCTCAGTCAGGAGGCCCGAGCAGAGCCGGGGTTGGCTTCAGATCCTGGCTTCTGAAATATAGAAAAACACCGAAGCCGTCATGAAAAGTTCCATTTTTAAGCACATTAACAAAAAAAAAATGGATCATGTAGAAGTGATCTAGTGATGTTTTCTGAACCACATGTAGCTGCATGACACAGTAACACAAAACTAAACATAGAGAACATCTGAAATATTTGGTCGCAAAAATGAAAACAAACACGACTTCTGTTGAACTTTTCTAGCAGGAATAACAAGTTGTACCACAAAAACAAAAAATATGAATAGATGTAGACTCGTGGAGTTTTGAAATGTTTCTCCAAATATGAGTAAAACATGTTTTTTTAAAAAAATAAAATCCAGGTTTAGTTTCTAGTTCAGTTCAAACAGATCAGACACAGTGGAGCAGAAGATTCCTGATGACTTCAGATGGAATAATCCATTCTTAAGAAAATCAGTTGAATATTATGAAGTCTGATTTAAACTACTTTAATTACATATATCTGCATTTTTAATTTATCTCTTACATATTGATTTTTCTCATCTTTTCCACTTTGACATCTATAACATTTAGCATGCCCTATATTCAACTTGTCTGCACAGTTTTTGTAACTGATTCAATTTTAATCAGCTGTATTTTGTATTGTAACTGCTTTTTAATAAAACATATGCCAGTAAAACACTTTGAGTAACGTCTGTGTGTGATGAGAAG